TAAGTGCCAGGGTAGTCCACAAAGAACGCCGCGCAGCTGTCCACAGCAGGCACGCCACCAGGGATCAGCTTGAACGTGCACCAGGCCGCCGTGTCCATGGTGATGCCGCGACTGCGGCATTCGCGTAGCGTCTCGAACATCATCTTGTTGAAGTCCCCCACCACAACAACCTGGACGTTGTATGTTTGGAGCAAGGCCGCGAACCATTTGAAGTACTCGATGCGTTTACTCTGCTTTTTCCGAATGTGCCAGCGAGTTGTGCACGTGAATCACCAGGACGTTGAACTCGTCGCCGAGGCCAATGACCTGTCTGTCAAGCCACACCTTGCAGATCAGGACCCTGCTGTAGCGCCGATGCCTGGCGTGAACTCCGTGGAAGTTCTTCTCCCGCCGAACGAGCTCCATCCCGGAGCCACTCTTGTCGTCTATGGCGAGGAGCGGGGTGCCTTCCGGCTCGGCCCCTTTGATACACAACCAACGCTTGCCTGCCCGATGTGCCGGTTTGTCGTGGACGGCATAGTCCGATGTGTCTCCGGCCGCCACTGCAGCCCCGAGGTGGTCGTAGAGGGCGTCGGTGGCTTCGGCGACGGCCACGATGTTGGTCGGGGACTTCTTCATCTGGCCCCACTCGTCGGCTCTCTTCTGAGGGTCCGAAGCGTCCGCCCCGAAGTTGAAGAAAGCGAAGGAGCAGTTGCCGAGTTCTTTTGCCGCCGCTGCGGCGCTGCTGCGGTTGTTATTGATGCCCGCGCCCCTGAGCTGTCTGTCAACCCGTTCTTGGTGCCGGCGCTCTTGTGCCTCCGTGAGACCGTGGTGTTGCTCTGTGCTTTGGTACTCCCAGTCCCGCGTGACGGTCGTCATGCGGGGCTGCGTGTTTCTCGCGTCTTCGTCGCTGCCCGCGTCGGGCCCGCGCTCGGGCCTCTCCACCTCTGAATCGCCCGCCTCGGGGAAAGCCTCGCAGCCGCTGGACTCGGCCTCGAAGTCGCTGACGCCATCGCTCGGCATGTGGGCCGCCACTGCGGCCTCAGCCTCGGAGGGCGCCGCTGTGAACGGAGGGGATGCTGGAGCCGCAGCCGCGGCCCGCATGGGGGCCGCCTGCATGTCGGAAGGTGGCGCCCATTCGCCCGAGGGCGCCATTGCAGCCGAAACGGCGGCGGAACGGGGGACAATGATGTGGATGATCTTACATTAAGTCATCATCATCACCATCACCATCATCATCATCCTGATCATCATCATCATCATCATCATCATCATCATCATCATCATCATCACCATTAGCATCACCATTATCATCATCATTATCATGATCCTCACCATTAGCATGATTAATTAATTCTGTGGGTGCGTCATCATCATCATCATCATCATCATTATCATCACCATCATGATCATCATCAACCACTCCTTTTCGCCGCCTCTCCTCCCCCTCATCATCCACCTCCTCCTCCCCCTCCTCCCCCTCCCCCTCCTTGTCCTCCTCCTCCTACTCCTCTTCCTCCTCGTCCTTCTTCTCCTTCTCCTCCCCCCTCCTCATCTCCCCCCTCATCCTCGTCCTCCTTCTTCTCTCGCCCTTCCCCCCCCCCCCGCCCCGGTTGACCGCCTGCTGTCGCTATTGCCAAACCTTAGCCCCCTCACCCCCTCAGGCGTTCTGGCCAGGTCAGGAAGCCCAATGTCACCCAGGAGAGCGCAGAAAAGGGCCCCTTGGATATCGGCGGCGCTTCTAGGTTACTACGGCCAGGTCCAGGGGATCGACGATCTCCCGAATAGCACGGGTTGGGGCCCCATCCTCAGGCACCGTGGCTTCGAGAGGCCACGGGCTAGGAGCGCCCGCTCAACGACGGCCACGGCCGGCCACCGGGGCGTTGGATTGCTGGGAGTCTGGGCACTAGGCAGTCAAGCCCCCATCATCGCATTGTCAGTAGACCAGTGGGGACCAAGTCCCAGCATCACCTTCAGCCTTTCTCGGGGTCGGCGGCGGCGCGAGGCTCGGCGGCGGTGCGCGGCGCAAGCGCTTGCCGCGAGCAGCCGCCGCCTGGCTGACCTGGCCGGGCCCCGATCTGGTCATGGTCAAGTAGGGCAAAGGGCCTGGCCTTCGCTGTCTGGCATGCCAGCTGCTCGGGCAGCCCTGGCTGAAGTCCCAAGGCGCGCCCGCGATGCCGCCCCGTCTCCGCGGCCCTGGCCGGCCGCGCCAGGGGGGGGGGCGGGGCAGAACGAATCAAGCAAAACAAAAACTGCTCCCCCGCAGCGCCGCGTGGGCCGCCGCTGCAGCGCGCCCCTGACCGGCGCTTCCTGCCCCTGTTGCGCCGCCTCGGCAGTCGCCAGCATCCTGGCGGCATCCTCTGGCAGCATCTTGTCGCAGCCCACGCGCCTCGGCACAGCTCCCTGCGCGCTCCTCGCGACGTCGCCCCGACCGCGGTCCGCATCCAACTGGCGCTGGCCCTCTGCGGCATAGATTGACTTCCCCGGCTGCGCGGCGGGCAACCGAATGCTTCCGCTTTCCACCTTGCTATTCGCACTTCCAGCGCTTGCGGCCCGCGCCTCTGCCCCCGGGCGCGGCCGCGACGCCGCCCCGCGCCCAGTGCCAGGTCCTGCCAGGTCACTTCAGCCCTAGCCAGCGCGCTCATCCTGGAATTCTTTCAGCTGTGCGCGCCGTGGCCCTTCCCCCTGTCCTCCGCGGCCGCATCTCCTCCTCGCGCGCGCCCCCCCTTGCTGCCGGACAATTAGTCTGTCGAGCGCCCCCGACGCTTCGAGCGCCCGTGCATATTACCCCTGCCGTGCCGCGAAAGAGCGTCCGGGCGCCCGTCTGCTTTCGGGCGCCTAGCAGTTTTCGGCGCCCATTTTTCGTCGGGGTCCCATTTGCTTTCGGGCGCCCATTTGTTTTCGGGCGCACATTTTCTTCCGGCGCCAATCGGTTTTCGATGCCCATGTGTTCTCGCGCGCCAAGTTGATTCCGGGCGCCCAGATGTTTTTGTTTCCGGGGGCTTATCGGCTTTTGGGCGCCCATTTGTTTTCAGCGTTCATTTGTTTTCGGCGCCTATTCGTTTTCGGGCGCCTATTTGCTCTCGGGCGCCTCTTGTGTTTCTGGCGCCTATTTGTTTTCGGCGCCAGCTTGTTTTCGGCGCCCATGTGTTATCGAACGCCCATTGTTTTCGGGCGCCCATGTGTTTTCGGCGCCAATAATTTGTTTTCGGCGCCATTTGTATCCGGGGCCCTTTTGTTATCGAGTGCCCACCTGTTTTCGGGCGCCCATGTGTTTTCGGCGCCAATTTGTTTTCGGCGCCCATGTGTCCCCTACCTAGGCTCTGCCTAGAAGGGTTCTTCCTCTGCAGCTTAAAGGGGCCGGGCAGTGCAACCCGCCCTGGGCGGTTCCCCCAGTCCCCTGGGAGCGGTTCCCCCAGTCCCCTGGGAGCTTTAGCTTTAGCTTTAGCTTTAGCTTTAGCTTAGCTTTAGCTTACCTTTAGCTTAACTTTAGCTTAGCTTTAGCTTAGTTTTAGCTTAGCTTTAGCTTAGAGTTAGCTTAGCTTTATCTTAGCTTTAGCTTAGTTGTAGCGTAGCTTTACCTTAGCTTTAGCTTAGCTGTAGCTTAGCTGTACCTTAGTTTTAGCTTAGTTTTAGCTTAGATTTACCTTAGCTTTAGCTTAGATTTAGCTTATATTTAGCTTAGCTGTAGCTTAGCTTTAGCTTAGCTTTAGCTTAATTTTAGCTTAGCTTTACTATTACTACTAATGCTGCTTTCCTAGGGGCTCCAACTCCTAGGTAGGGTCGCACTGGGATGATTTTCGGGCGCCCATCTGCTTTCGAGCGCCCATTAGTTTTCGGGCGTCTTTGTTTTCGGCGCCCACTTGCTTTCGGCGCCCGCTTATTTTCGGGCGCCAATATGTTTTCAGGAGCTAATTTTTCCCCTGCGCCTATCTGTTCTCGGCGCCTATGTGTTTTCGGCGCCCATCTGCTTTCGGCCGCCCGTCTGTTTCTGGACGCCCATTTGTATTCGGCTCCAATATGCTATCGGGCACCCATCTGTTTTCGGGCGCCCATTTGTTTTTGACGCCATTCTGTTTTCGGCGTTAATCTGCTGCCGGGTGTTCATTTGTTTTTGGACAGCTATAACTTGTTGTTGGCGCCCATCTGTTCTCGGGCGTCCATCTGCTTTCAAACGCCCGTTTTCTGTGCGGGCGTTTATTTGTTTTCGGCGCCAATATGTTCTCGGCGCCCATTTGAATTCAGATGCCAATCTGCCATCCGGCGCCCATTTGTTTTCGGGCGCCTATCTGCTTTCGGCGCCTATCTGTTTTTGGCGCACATATGTTTTCGGGCGCCCATTTGCTTTCGGTCGCCCATCTGCTTTCGGTCACCCCCCTGCTTTTCGGGCGCCTAATTGTTTTCATTTTTGTCGGCAGCGGCGTCGTCGTCGTCGCTGTCGGCGTCGCCGTCGCCGTCGGCATCGTCCCCCTCCTCCCCCTCCCGACGACAACGACGACGACGACGAGAAGCTCTTCCAATCAGCCCCCATGAGGTGTGCTCCTGACCCTCGACCCTCCCAATCGGTGTTCCTGGCCCTCCTGGTTTTTGAGATTCCTCCTTGTAGCTCGCTTAGCCCGCTGTACCTCCTGTCCCCTTAACCCCCCCCAGCCCCTCCTCCTGGCCCCGTTGGCCACCCTTGCTATCCTGGCCTTCCTTGGCCCCTGTGCCATCCTCGCCTTGGCCGCTTAGTCAGTTATAGTCCTCCCTGCCCTCTCAGCCTTCCGAGCCTCCCTATAGCTTCTTCCGGCGTTCCTGGCCCTCGAGCCGCCTTTTGCCCTGCTGGCGCGCGGCGCACGGTGCCGAGCCCGCCTGGCCCCGACCGCCCCGTCAGGATCAGGGTCAGGATCCGGATCGGTTCCCAGATGGGCCCAGATCGAAGAGGCGGTTCCCAGGCCCGGATCGAGCAGCCGCTCCGCCGGAGCGGATGCGCAGGTGCCCCCCCCCTCGCCGAGGCCCCCGTCCCCCTTTGGTGTGCCCAGGCGCGGCCGCCCCCCGAGAGCATGGCCGCCAGCAACCAGGCGGCGATCCTCAAGCAGGCGCAGATAGGCGCGGTCCGACGCCGGCGGTGGGGGGGAGGGTGACGAGCAAGGCGAGGAGGAGGAGGAGGAGGAGGAGGAGGAGAAAGAGGAGGAGGAGGAGGAGGAGGAGGAGGAGGAGGAGAAGGAGGGGAAACAGGAGGAGGAAGAGGAGGAGGAGGAACAGGAAGAGGAGGAGGAGGAGGAGGAGGGAGGAGGAGGAAGAGGAGGAGGAGGAGGACCAGTGTAAACCCAAGAGTCATCAACGATGTTGGAGTAAACCCTCCCTCCAAGCTACCTTGTCATAGGCCCCTACAACGGTTAATTTCCATCGATGGAACTGCTTCGTTAGAAGATGCCCATGTGAAGATCCTGAAGCATGCCAAGACATTGTTCTCGGGATTCCAACGCCGCGGATCAACCTGACTGTTGCGTCTTGACGATCCTGAGTCGCGCCAGAACGCCATTGCTAGGACTTCAACACAGAGAATCAGCGTAACTGTTGCGCCCGCATGCTCTTGAATCGTTGCAAAACAAACTTTCTGGTACGTTGAGGATGGGAATACGGGAAACTCTTGAACATGTTGTAAACGAATGTGCGCGGCGATACGGCGAAAGCCACATTTTGAAAAAGAACCGCCCTCAATCCGTGAATCTCTTGCAAATGTTTAAAACGAATGTGCGCCGCGCTAAGGCGAGAGCCACATGTTGAAAACCACTCGCCCTCAATCCGTGAAGTTCTTGCAAATGTTTACGAATGTGCGCCGCGCTGAGGCGAGAGCCACATTTTGAAAACGACTCGTCCTCAATCCGTGAAGCCCTACGAATGTGCGCCGCGCTGAGGTGGGAGCCACCTGTTGAAAACCACCCGCCCTCAATCCGTGAAACTCTGGCAGTTTGTTTAAGCGAATGTGCGCTTTGCTATGGCGAGAGCCATGTTTTGAAAGCGACCCGCCCTCCATCTGTGTAATTGTTGCCAGCTTTAAGCTACAGAGCCATTATCCCAGTGCGACCCTACCTAGGAGCTGGAGCCTCTAGGAAAGCAACATTAGTAGGACCGGTAAACGCCGTCCTCCTTCTCCTCATCGTCGTAGCTGTAGCAGTAGCGGTAGTAGTAGTAGTAGTATTAGTAGTAGTAGTAGTAGTAGTAGTAGTAGTAGTAGTAGTAGTAGTAGTAGTAGTAGTAAGTAGTAGTAGTAGTAGTAGTAGTAGTAGTAGTAGTAGTAGTAGTAGTAGTAGTAGTAGTAGTAGTAAGTCGTAGTCGTAGTCGCAGTCGTAGTCGTAGTCGTAGTAGTAGTAGTCGTAGTAGTCGTAGTCGTAGTCGTAGTAGTAGTAGTAGTAGTAGTAGTAGTAGTAGTAGTAGTAGTAGTAGTAGTAGTAGTAGTAGTAGTAGTAGTAGTAGTAGTAGTAGTAGTAGTAGTAGTAGTAGTAGTAGTAGTAGTAGTAGTAGTAGTAGTAGTAGTAGTAGTAGTAGTAGTAGTAGTAGTAGTAGTAGTAGTAGTAGTAGTAGTAGTAGTAGTAGTAGTAGTAGTAGTAGTAGTAGTAGTAGTAGTAGTAGTAGTAGTAGTAGTAGTAGTAGTAGTAGTAGTAGTAGTAGTCGTCGTAGTAGTAGTGGTAGTGGTAGTGGGAGTGGGAGTGGTAGTGGTAGTGGTAGTGGTAGTGGTGGTAGTAGTAGTAGTAGTAGTAGTTGTTGTTGTGGTGGTAGCAGTAGTGGTGGTGGTAGTAGTAGTAGTAGTAGTAGTAGTAGCGATATTAGTAGTAGTAGTAATAATAATAGTAGCGGCAGCAGTGGTGGCAGTAGTAGTAGTAGTAGTGGTGGTAGTAGTCCCAGTGATATGAATAGTAGTAATAATAGTAATAGTAGTCGTAGTCGTCGAAGTAATAGTAATAGTAATAGTAGTAGCAGTAGTAGTAGTAGTAGTAGTAGTAGTAGTAGTAGTAGCAGCAGTAGTAGTAGTAGTAGTAGTAGTAGCGCCAGAACCGCCGACGCCACGCCGTAAGTGAAGCAGCAGCAGAAGCAGGCAGCAAGTCGCCGAGCCAGCAGCAAAAGCAAGCAGGCACGGAGATGAGGGCGGGGCACTGGGGAGTTTTTTCCATTTACAAGTATACCTACACCTACATCAACATCGACACCTACATCTACATCTAGACCTACACCTACAGCTACATCTACATCTACACCTGCATACACATCTACATATACATCAACAGCGAGACCCACATCTACATCTACATCTACACCTAAATATACGTCTACATATACACCTACACCTACATCCACATATACACCTACATCTACATCTACATCTACATCTACATCTACATCTACACTTTCGCATTGGTTGTGTTTTAGCTTTGCATTGCCTTTGCGTTTGCTCTTACCTTTGCTTTTGCCTTTGCCTTGGCCTACACCGCACGACTTGGCATTGAGCAAGGTTGTGCAACAACTGCTACACCGAACGTTCCCACGAAACTGTACAGCAGCAGCAACTCCCAGATCGGTGCAACAAGCTGTTCAGCATTGTTTCGGCGGGCATCATCGGCGCTGGAATATGCGGTTTCACCAGAGTGGTGTGACCACAACCTCCCCGCTGTCGTGGAGTCGTCCGAGCCACTCCTGGCGCGCAGGGACTGTGTCGAACAACCAGTAATACACAGATCGCCGTGAGTGGTTTCCTTTCCGCAACTCGCAGATCTTGTAGCAGAAACGCTGCAAGTTAACAGTCGGCCGTCGCATTTGAGCAGGGAGGTGTTCGCAGCCGATTCGCAAGAGGCGGTCACCGAAGTCGCTGTGATGCAGAATGCAAGCAAACACTTCATTCGCTCTGCAGCTCTAGTAGTAGCACTGATCCCAAACGTTCCTCCGCATATCAACAGCGCTCTCTGGCACGATGCGCTCCCCGTTAAAGCAATAGTGGATGTTGTGCTGCGCTATGCTCTGCTATGCTTTGCTATGCTATGCTATGCTGCGCTATGCTATGCTATGCTATGCTTTTGCTTGGCCTTCGCTTTTGCCTTCACTTGTGCCTTTGTTTTTGCTTTTGCTTGGCACCCAGGGAGCGCAACTGGGGGAACCGCGCGTTTGCTTTTACCTTTGCTGTTGCTTCTGCTCGGCTCCCAGGGGGCCGGGGGAACCGCCCGGGGCGGTTTACACTGCCCGGCCCCTTTAAGCCAATACAGTAATAACCCTTCTAGGCAGAGCCTAGGTAGGGAATAAGTGGTAAGGAAGTCTCAGGCGAAACGCCCGGCCCGCCCTAAAAACTGGTTTCGGGTGCGACAGGGATAAGTTATTTATATGGATAAGGAAGGGGGGGAGGAAAAGGAAGAGGAACAGGAGGAGGAGGAGGAGGAAGAGGAGGAGGAGGAAGAGGAGGAGGAGGAGGAGGAAACAGAGGAGGAAACGGAGGAGGAGGAGGAGGAGGAGGGAGGAGGAGGGAAGAGGAGGAGGAGGAGGAGGAGGAGGAGGAGGAGGAGGGAGGAGGAAGGGGAGGAGGGAGGAGGAAGGAGGAGGAAGGGAGGAGGAAGGAGGAGGAAGGGAGGAGGAAGGGAAGAGGAAGGGAGGAGGAAGGGAGGAGGAAGGGAGGAGGAAGGGAGGTTGAAGGTTGGTTGGTGGTGCTCCCATTGAGCCGGCATTCGGGAGCTTCGGACGCAGCTCCCTGTTCAGCATGGCGCCACGGCCTGGGCGGGGCTCGGAAGCGTCCGTGCTGCGACGGCCCTGGAAGCAGTCACCAGCGCAGGAGGGGGCGAGAGGGGAGTTGTCGGAGCCCCGACGGCGGAGACGGAACCCGGGGAAACAAGGAACTTCGGGCCCCAACAGTCGCAGGGCCCACGGGCAGGCACCAGGAGAAACTGGCCAGAACCCAAACCCCCGCCGAAGCAACGCGCCCCGACAGACTCCGACCCTCCACCCCCGAGGCAACTCAGGGACTCCCCGCGGGGCGGGGGGGGGCCGGGCAGGAGGATCTTGCCCGGGGCTCGTCCGATCCCTCCTACGCTGCCATGTCGACGCGCGACGCAGGTGCGGGACGGCGACAGGAAGGGGGAGAGGAAACCACCCCAAGGGAGAGAAGGAGAGAGGAGGAAGAGAGGACCCTGCCCGACCCGACCCACCCTCCTGGGAACCTCCCCGCGGCCGCCCAGAAACGATCCGCCTCCCTCTCGATAAAAAGCGCCAGCAGGGCCGCCTGCGCGTACCCGGCATCCGTCGGGCCTGCGGAAAGGACCGCTGCAGCCGCCGCCTCCGCGGAGGAAGGGGCCAGGCCTCCTTGGGCCTCCAGAAAGTGCGCCGGGAGAGCTCTGAGCGAGAACGCAGGCCGAGGATATGAAACGCGGGGCCCAGGGTCTGGATGCCGCACAGGATGGAGGATTGCCTCCGCGCTGCACGCTTCCTGGGATCGATGGCTGCGGAGTGCGGGGGGGTGGAAAGGGAAAGACAGAAAGGTGGGGGGGACTGAGCCAGACCTCACCGTGGTGGCGCCCAGCAGCATTTGCTTTCGCAGCGCCTTCGCCTGGCATCCCTCGGTCGTGTGCATTCTTTCCTCGGCGAGGGCCATCGAAGAGCATCCTGGATCATGGAGCCACAAAAACACACACGAAATCAGAAAATGCACGGGAATGGACGTCCGAGCGATGGCGACTTCGGGGTGCCCTTCGGGGCGCCCGAATTGAACTGGCGGAGTTCCGCGGCTGCCCGCTGGCGCCAGGGATCTTTCGAGGCGCGTTCCGCCGCCCGTTGGCGCGGTGACGCGGTGCGACAGCAGCGTTGGGCCCCCACGGGCGCCCCCAGAGTTAAGTCGGGCCTGTCCCCCTACAGGGGGATGTTCGACGAAAAAGAAGAAATACCCCAAAAATGCCCCAAGAAGGTCAAACAATATTCAAAAATACTCCTCAGGTTTGTTGTACGATGTTTTGATTATTTTGTGGGTATATGTCATTTTTCGTCGAAAATCCCCCTGTAGGGGGACAGGCCCGACTTCACCCCGACTGCAGCCGGCGAGTGCGAAATTCGGCAAGCATCCGCCTCCTATATGTTGTGATGCTACCAACTAGACTCTTGCGAGCCGCTACTTTAGAGTATACCTGGGACGCCAGATTCACGCATACACGAATAAAGCCTCGTGGTACGAGGTCCCGAGCGATCGGCTGGGTCTCCGAGCGCCTCGTCATCCCCCCCCCCGCCGTGGAGTCATCGACGATTTGACCGTCAAGCTGCCCAAGCCGCTGCAGGACAAGCTGGGCGAGCTTGAGAAGGCGACCCTCTCCCATCTTTGCTCCCAGCGGTCGTTGAACTGAGCCTCGTCGAGTCTCCCTTCCTTCTCCTTCACCTTCCCCTCCTTCTTACTGTTTCCTCCGCCTTCTCATCAGGGTGAGGGGGCCGAACGGTCTTACAGCATCCCTGGGTGCGTGGGCCAAGTGGGATTCCGTAGCCTGGGTTCTGTTTGTTGCTCGAATTTGTTAAAGAGTAATCATTGTTGATCCCCTTCTCCTGTGCACATGCTGTGCTTTTTCCCAATGAAGTGCCCCTCCTGAGGCTTGCACCTGGGATTTGCAGGGAAAGTATTGGGCCTTAGGCTGCGCACCCAGCCCCCAGTTAGCAATATCAGCGGCTCCCGCCTGATGCTCATTTACAATGTATTGTGAAACCGCGCTCTCGCTTGGGATGTTTCCCACAATTGATCCAGGAATTGCGCTCTCGCTTAGAATTCCTCACAATCTACTCAGACGCCGCACCCTCTGCACTGAGGAATGAAGTTCTCGCTTTGGACTTCCTTTCGATTTATTTGGGAATCGCGTTCTCGCGAGAGGCTCCCTCGTGATTCATGCAGCACTGATCCGTAGCCATTTGGGCTCAAGTTTCGTGCATTACTTTATCATCATTTGTTCACGTCTGTCGTATGTTTTGCGGGTATGTTGGCAAACTGCCTAAGCTCAGTAATCGTTTGTTTGTCGACCGTGACGTCTAGCTTGAGGTTGATGCCCAATGACGAACCCGAGGAGAGATATCCGCCATGCGCGAGTCATTGCCCAATGTGTGGGCTCAGATTTACGGCTCGGGCGAAACAAACGTGTCGCGACATTCTTCGTTGACATGCAGAATAATATGCTTGTTGCAAGCAAGCGTAACTATGTAGTACAGCCGCTGTTGGCTCAAGGTTGGGATGTTGATGTGTCCGTGGAACTCGTTGGCATGGGACTCCCGTGGGCCACTCTCTTGGCCAAATTTCATGGTGGGTTGCTCTTGCTCCTGCTCCTCCTGTTTGTCTGCATGCATGTCCTCCTCTTTGTTTGCATTGCATTGCATTGCAGACGCATAGCGTTGCAATCGCACTCTTCCCTCCCATCCTCGCAACAGGACCCCTTTGGAAAACATTCCAAAGGGATTCCAGTGGAACGCCTCACAGCAGGAATCCTTTGGAAACCGCAACAAAGGGATTCGATTGGAAAGCGCCACACAGGGATGTGGGAAGCGAAAAACCAAAAAAACACAAGGAAAAACCAAAAAAAACAAAGAAACCAAACACCAACAGCCGAAAAACCAAAAAAACACAAGGAAAAACCAAAAAAAACAAAAAAAACAAAGTTTACAACACTTTCGCTGTCAGGGCGGTGGGGGTGGACGAAGTATCGAAATCTTTGGTTTTTTTGTTTTTTTTGGTTTTTCCTTGTGTTTTTTTGGTTTTTCGGCTGTTGGTGTTTGGTTTCTTTGGTTTTTTTGGTTTTTCCTTGTGTTTTTTTTGGTTTTTCGCTTCCGCCACCCCTCCCCCTGGGGAGCGGGCGGCTCCAGGAGGCCCCAGGAGGCCCCAGAGAGGCCCCAGAGAGGCCCCAGGAGACCCCTGGAGGAGACCCAGGAGGGAACCCAGGGGCATCGCAAATTCAATGTCCCTTCGATGCCCCTCCCCTCTCCTCACCTCTCTCTCCCTCAACCAAGTTTTCTGGTTACCCTCTCTTTCGTGCCCGCCATCCCCTTCCCGCGACGGCAGCAGACTCAAGGCCCAGCTGGTTGCTGAGGATGGGTGCCTTTCGGGTGCCTTGCGGGTGCCTTGCGGGTGCCTTAGCAATTAGCGGAGTGCATTGCGAGTATACACGTGCCGCGCAACTCCCCAAATATACCATTCAGAAGGGGGAAACGCTCGAGAATTTTTTTTTTGGGTTTTTTTGTTGTTGCCGTTGCATATGAACGGAAAGCGAAGCATTTCTCGTTAAGTGCAAAAATCAGATTTGAAGAAGTATCATAATCATTATGACGTTGTGCATTTTTACTATCGGCGTCGACCCCCGAATTCTGAGGATGGGTGCCTTTCGGGTGCCTTGCGGGTGCCCTTCGGGTGCCTTTCGGGTGCCTTGCGGGTGCCCTCCGGGTGTTTTTCGGGAGCCGTGCGGGAGCACTTCGGGTGCTCTTCGGCCGTCTTCGGGTACCTTTCGGTAGCCAGCAAGGGGCTTGGGAGGAGGCGGAAGAGAAACCCAGGATCCCAAGAGGAACCTAGGAACCCAGGAGGAACCGAGGAACCCAGGAACCCAGGAGGAACCCAGGAACCCAGGAGAAATCCAGGAACACAGGAGGAACCCAGGAACCCAGGAACCTTGGAGGAACCCAGGAAACCAAAAGAAACCCAGGAGGAACCCAGGAACCCAGGAGGAACCCAGGAACCCAGGAGGAACCCAGGAACCCAGGAGGAACCAAGGAACCCAGGAACCCAGGAGGAACCCAGGAACCCAGGAGAAATCCAGGAACACAGGAGGAACCCAGGAATCCAGGAACCTTGGAGGAACCCAAGAAACCAAGAGAAACGCAGGAGGAACCCAGGAACCCAGGAGGAACCCAGGAACCCAGGAGGAATCCAGGAACCCAGGAGGAACCGAGGAACCCAGGAACCTAGGAACCCAGGAGGAACCCAGGAACCCAGGAACCCAGGAGAAACCCAGGAACACAGGAGTAATCCAGGAATCCAGGAATCTTGGAGGAACCCAGCGTTTCCTGACCCCCCTCGCTGCTCGTAGCTGTTTGGGCCCAATCGCAACGCCGAGCGTGCGCCTTCTGGCAAACCCTCAGCGTCATTCAAGACCGCGGCATGGCCGCTTACGAGGACCTGAAATCGGCGACCGAGGGCTGGTATTGCCGCCCTCTTCCTGCACCAATGGTAACGGGCGTGCTGCCCCGTGGAGAAATCGAGCCTTTTCTCGAACTCACGGACGACATCGGGGCCAACGAGAACCCACTGGTGCACTACATTGATTTCATCACGGGGCATAGAGACCCAGTCCCCCCCGAGCTCGACGAGCAATACAAGGCGGCCTGGAAGGACGACAGCTACCACAATCTGCCGCCACCGTTCGGGTTCAAGACGGCGCCGCAACACCACATGACGCTGCAGATTTGTATCCTTGACGCCCCCGACGGCACGAAGACCATAATCAAACACTGCGTCATCCCCAACAAGGCGAAGACGGCCGTCTTCGCCAGCATGGCTTTCGGGAGCGTCAAGAAGCTCTGCTTCCAGCATCCCAAGGTGCACGATTGGGGAAACAAAAGGGTGGCGAGGGCGCGGCGCCCTCGCCATTTTGTTTTTTCGATCGCGCCGCCAGGTGGGGGTCAAGGTCTGGCAATGCGCCTTCGAGCGGTTCGGAGGCAAACAGTGTCGGGCTTTCTTCTTATCGCCAGACGTCAAGACGGCCACCAAGGTGAACGAGTTCTACGAGCTCTCGGACGAGGATATAAACGCTGGCTTCGAATACATCCTGAAGAACGCGCCTCGCTCCACGGCCGAGCTCAAGCAGCTGGTATGGCAGACGAAGGCGCTACGCAAAGGCGCCCCCCTCTACGGCTGGCCCGCCCCCCTGGTGGCGAAGGCGTTGAGCGGGCTCGCGGCGGAGGGCGCGCTTGCAAAGAAGGAGTTCGAAAACAACGTGATCCTCTGCGAGGACCACTTCAACCTTCGCGTTCTCGAAGCCATGCAGGAGCTGATCAACAGCAACGATTCGCTTGTCCTCATTGGGGAGCCCAACATCGGCAAGACGCCGCTCGGGCGCGCATTCCTGATGGCAATGTGCCGCAGGAACGCGCGGGTCCACGGATTGGACCCCGCGGGTTGTTGCATCCGCGTCACGCCTGAGATCGATTTCTTGCGAGGCGAGCCCGGCGACATTCTCATGGGGGACTTTGTGGACGATGGCTGCTTGAATCTCCTCCCGCCCAAGATGGTGAAGGCCTTGCTCGACGTCGGCCAGTACGAGAGCATGTGCTGGGCCAGGTGGGGCGCAACGAAATGGAAGAAGGGGGAGCCTCGGTGCTTGGCGGACCAGACTTACGATCCGAATGCCGAGAAGCTGGACCGCTGGCCCTCCGTGAAGTTCCAGGAATTCTTCGAGCTCGTGCGCCCTGCCTTCTCCGAGAAGGCGACCCGCGCATGCATGCTGGCTTTCTTCAAGCGTTCTGCGTTTCTGGTGAATACCCAGGAATACCTCTACTGGCGCCCAGCAGGCACTGAGGAGAAAGATGTTCCGCGCATTAACTTCAAGGGCGAGACCTTCCTGACGGCCGAGGGGAAGCGCCTGTACCTACTGCAGAAGGACGGCGACATGACCCCGCCCGCCAATATCCAGCAGCTCTTGGAGAAGGAGCGGCTCCTCGTGGACTCCGCCGTGGAGAAGAACCGCAAGAAGTCCTCAGACGCGGCCCTCGGTTCTTTGCCAGCCCCGTCGTTCGTCCAGGTTTGGGGGTTCAAAGATGCGGCCCTGCGGGGTGGGGTCCTAGGGCTGAGGGAGCACTTCAACGCGTTCTGAACGCTGAAACGCTGCCTCGGCCTTGGCGGACATCATCTTTGAGCCCCTCCCGACAGGTGAAGCGAGAGCGCGTGTCCCCTGAGCGCCTGACGTTTCGGAAGCGCCTGCTCTCGGGGATGACGCTCAATGTCGACAGCCCGTCCCCCGCCAAGCAACATGCCGCGGCGTCGTCCACTGCATCTGGGCCCGCGGCCCCGCCCCGCGACGATCTCGAGGTCCAGCTCTCGCAGATGCTGGCCGAGGAGGGGGCGCCCGCTGTGCCTGCGATGCCCTCGGCTGCGGAGGAGGACGAGGCGCACGCTTTCCTCGGTTCTCAGAGTCAGGAGTGAGCGGGCGGCCGCGAGAGCGCGGGCGGGCAGGTGCGGCGCGCGGGTTTCGCGGGCAGCGATGGCACCCTCAGCTCGGGCGCTGATGCCGCGCGCGCTGCCGAGGTGGCGCGCGCCGCTGCGCCCCAGATGAGCTGGGGGCGC